TGTGCGGGTGGGAGGAGAAACCATTTGAAGAGACAAAGGGGAGACAATTGGAAAGATAGGGGTGAAACTCTGGAATTCTCTCCCTCAATCCCTCTGCCTTGCCCCCTCGGTCCCTCCCTCCCTCCCCACCTTCAAATCCCTCCTAAAGACCTTCCTTTTCGATCGTGCTTATGGTAAACTCTGCACTCTGGCTCCCCCTGGCTCGTTACCAGACTCTGCCATTGTGAAGCGCTTCGGGACACTACCCCGCGTGAAGGGCGCTATATAAATGCAGTTTGTTGTTGTTGATAGGACATAAATATGAAGTTGGAACTGAGAGAAGAGACAGCGGAGAAGAACGGATTGATCAACAGAGTCAAAAGCAGCAGACAAGAAGGCAGAGGAGAACAAGAAGGCAGAGAGAGCCCTGGTCACAGAGAATGTCATTGATGACTTTGCCCAGGGAACTCTCGGTGCTCTGGGCGAAATCCGAATTGAAAGAAGTCATATGGGGAGTATTGGGAAAGGAAAGAGTCAAGCATTTCCTACAAACATAAAAAGTGTGTGCGTTTGGTGGGGGGAGGCGGGGAGAGGAAAGGCAGCGAGCAGCACAAAATGGATAGTGCTTTCAAAGGCATGGTGAATTGAATATACAGCATTTCTATGCTGTATAATTCTATGATTCAGTAAAGCAGTCAAGCAGTCAGCCGTACAATTGGTCCAGTGTATCACCGTTCGTGACTGTCAGACGAGTTGGTGCAGGAGGGCAGCATCAAAGCCGTTTCAAGGGCAAGGACAGGATTCCTTTTCCATGTTCACTTGAGGTCTCAGCCGCTGAATCCCATTGTCGTGCCCTTGTTTTACAGAGCACGGATGTCAGTGAGAATAGACTGAGTGGTGCAATGCTAAACAGTGCTTGGAACAAAGAGAAGCCCGAAAGACGCCCTCTCCATACACAAGAACCCTTATTTTTAAATCTCATCCAATTCAGCAAGAGCAAAAATGACTTAATACAACAGATATTTTGCTCTGCAAGGATTTCTCACCACAAGCTGGAAAATGCTACAAGTCATTTATATCCCCATTCCTTTGCCTTCCCTTCCTCAAACCTCGATATTCAAGTTTATACACACGGTGTATAAAAAAGAAATAAGAGCTTGTGGCTTCATGAGAAACAATTTCAGTTCTCAGATCTCCTCTGTGAAATGGACTGATCGCTCGCTGGCCAGCTACAGCTGGGCATTAAACAGCAGTGACAGAGCAGCAGGTGCCGTGCAGTGACACTCGGCGCTGTCACGCTTGTGAAGCAATGGGAAGGTCAAGGCGAGGATCTCAAAGGTGACCTGCTGGATAGCTTGCCATTGATATCACTGTCTGGCAAGCTTTCCCACTGCTTGTCCATCTAGGACCACCCTATCCGTTAAGGCTTTGGCTTGCAGGGTTAACAGGAGCTGAATGAGATGATTCCCTGCCCCCAACGACTGATAAAGAAAGAATCAAGAAAGGCAACGATCAAGATCTATTGAGCTGTTGGAGAAGATTTACTCCAGTGGAGGAACTGGCACCAGCACAGAGGGCTGAATGGCCTCCTTCTGCAATGCCTTAACTCACAGGACCAGGGCTCAGACCCGAGATCTTCTCCAAGCTCATGTTTTGAGTCCCTTATAACGTGTAGGGATTCATTTTATATAATAATAATACTTACATCTGATATAGCACCTTATCATTTGTTCAGATGTCTCAGAATATATTGTAAAGTGGATTGACTGTACATTTGCAAGCAAAACACGGCAACCAATTGCGCACAGCTGTGTCCCACAAACAGTTGTGGATTGAGTGACCACTATTTTTGGAGGATCTATTATTCCATGAAAGTGATCCGCCAATCGACTAACAACCGGGTTCCTACTTACTGCTAGGTAAACAGCGGTGTGTGGAATAAGGAAACTTGCTTACGGTTTTGCCCTGGCCAGAATCAAACCCGGGTCCTCACACTATATATCAAAACTTTTTAATTAGAGCCTGTCAGATACCAATGTCTCGTGGATGAGATCTCCATGATTATTTGCCAGATCAGGTTTCAAGTCTGCGTTACCAGAAATGGGCGTTCGAATCGCTTGTCAAAACTATTCAAGCATAAAGAAGCCATCTACCATAGCATCAGAAATGACAGCGAAGTAGGAGACCATTTGGCACAGCCGGTCTGTGTTGGTGCCAACTCAGCTGAACAAATCTCTGAACCAGCTGTACATCTCGTGACTAGCGATTAGAGTGACAGTGCTGGAGTGTCTCTGCACTGCATATGCTGCTCTGCTGATGTTATCTTGTGGAGTCCTGTAGTGTAGTGGTAAGAGCACTCTCCATGCAAGAGAGGGGATCTTCAAAATAAATAAATAATTGGGTCCCTCAATTCACAACTGTTTGTATGACGCTGCTGTGCGCAATTGGCTGCCGCGTTTTGCCCACAAAATATACAGTAAATCCAATTTACAGTATACTTTGTGAAGCGCTTTGAGACATCTCAACAATGTGATAAGATGCTATATCAAATGCAAGCATTATATTATTAAACATCCGTGACTGGCCAGTGAGAGACGAGTCTCTTCCATGGCTGGGTGGGATTGACCAGGCAGCAAGAGCACCACCAATGTAGTTCCATTCAAAGCACTTCAGTCCACATATATAGCGCCTTCCACTTCGGGAGGCTGTCCCAAAGCGCCTCACAGATGGGGCACCCAAGCTGGTGGAGGGAGCTGAGGAGGGTGGGGAGGGAAAAGATGACTAAAAGCATAGTCAAAGAAGTAAGTCTTAAGAAAGACCCAATACCTCCGCAAATTTTTCCTTTCCAAGTATCTATCTAATTCCCTTTTTGAAAGTTGCTGTTCAATCTGTTTCTATTACCCATTCAGGCCATGCATTCCAAACCATAACAACTCGTCTTGAGATAGACCCTGAACGAGGAGTGGGTGTTGGGGGGGAGGGAGGGAGTGAATCAGAGGGACACTGCCACGGAGTTCCAGAGTGGGGCAGAATAGCTGAAGGCCCATCTGCCGATGATGGGAACAAATATGCAAATGAAATATCACAAAAGACAAATTGAGCAAATACCTGACAGAAGGGTGGCCTCAGGCAGGGGGGGGCAAGAGATATCCACCTGAAGCAGAGGGGGGCCGTGATGGGGAGGGGAGGGGGTGGCAGGGCTGATCAGGACCTTAACTCTGACATCCCATCTTTATGAAAACATTTTTTTAAATTTTTAATAAGTAACAATTTAAAAAATCTTTTTTGTGTGTGCGCGCATGTGTCTGTGCTTGTTCGTCTGTCTATTTGTCCGTTTGTATCTTGGTATCATGTTCATGTCAACTTTGTAATAAGGGGCTATATTAAATGCAAGCATTATTATTATTAATTTTGCACATCCGCGCAGAAATGCGTACGCACAACACAGCACGGAAACTACTTAAATCACAAGCACAGGCAGCAGATGTGAAAATCAGAGGTTGCAAATATCCAAATAGATGGGAATTTGGATCTCAAATGAAGAATCATTGATTTGAGTTATGAGTTGACACAAACACAAACATACACACAGACAATACCCAGGAGCACAAATAATCCAAAACGACTACATTACACAGCATATTGTCAGCAGCTGGTACAGTGTCCAACACTAATACTACCAAATACCCACTCAGGGAGCTAGGAAACCTGGAACTCATGTTGCTTGGAAATCTAAGGTATCGCTGAGAGATCAACCTCACACCAGCAGTACCTCTCTTCTCAAAGGCAATAATACAGAGGTAATGTGATACACCAAGCAAACAGGGGGGAAGGGGGACGTGGAGGGTGAACTGAAGACCAGGGGGAGGGTCCAGAACTTTAGACTTCAATAGTTACCCCGTCCCAAGCACATTCTGGACTCCCCAAGCCTTGGCTCTTGCCAGCCTGTGCCTACTACTCTCCGGAATGTGTAAGTGGGGTACATGGAACCAGCTGGTTTAGAGAGACGTGAGCAGGTGATGGGTTTCATTGTGTCAAAGACACCAATCAGGCTGACCAAAAGGAAACAGAGGCCTTCTGAGTGGAGTTCAGTATCACAACCACCCTCAGCCCTGCCACCAGTTGGAACCAAGGGAAGGCCGGCCACAAGGAAAGGAGTGAAACAAAACCAATTTTGGGAGAGACACCCAGTCACAGCCATTTTGTGAAAGTTCCCAAGACCCAGTACTGGGACTTGGTTTGAAGCAGGTCAACTTTCAGCAGTGACTGGATTGACAGTTCACACTCAGTCGGGAGAAAATAATAGAATACTTCAGATAAAAAAAATCTATCAGCAGCACAACTACTTTGTTTGCCGATGGTGAACTAATTCACGGTCATTTTGTGCCTCACTGCCTCACCAAACTGCTTTTTTTTTTCAATCCCTTTCACCACCTCGTACTGCCACCCACATCACCGATTCTGCGCAGCACACACAGGTCATTGGAAGCCAAACCCAGGGCTACAAATAATAACATGCACTAATACAGCGACTCGTGTGGGGCAACATCTCAAAGGGCATTACAGAGGCCATGTGGTACACAGGGCAAGGTGGGAAGAACGTTGAGGAAAGGGACTGAAGACATGGTCAAAGAGGTAAGCTTACAGAAAGGCTGTGAAGATACGGAGAGGGTGCAAGATGAGGGGCCATATCACAGCGTAGGAGCCTGTGATAGACACAGCCTCAATATTCATAGAGCATCAATCTTGTGCGGCAGAAAAATCGCAATAGAGAAGTAGAATCCACCATTTTCACAAGCGTAGAAAGAGGACTCAAAGAACAGGGAGGGAATGTTCGCTGTACCCTTTGATTTACAAAGACAATGAACTAGTTTTCTACAGATGGAATAAACGATTAGCCATGTTTGTGCAGTGCGATTTGAGTAGTGCTGGGAGTAGGGAGCGAGTTCTCTTTGTACTCTTGTGATTGAGGACTGCAGACAGTCAGTCCCCTGGCGGTTTCACTGCGTTTGGACGCTTACCTTTGGTGTCATTCACTGGGTCCATGTGTCGGTATATGTAGCCTTCTAAATAGGAGTGAAATTTGGGAGTTGGAGGAAAGAACGCCAGGCAGATGGCCATTAATTCCCAGCCCCGAGCAAGGCTCTCGTACCTAAAGTTTTCGGTGGTCTGCCTGCACAGTTGGATATAAAGCTCATCCCTGAGACCCTGCATGCTCCAGCCCTTGGTGGCCACCTCAAGGGCCACGTTCAGCTGATCAGTCTTGGCCCGCCGGTCACCCATGTACATCTGAATCAGCTTAAACATATCACACGCTTCCTTCTTCACACAGCGATCAGTGGTCATGATCATGGGCTTCTTGATGGACTCGCTGCTCCAGGCCAGCATGTTGGCAATGGAAACTTTGCGCCGGAAGATGCCCTGCGTGTGCTTGTTGAAGTGTTTGGAAGCCCAGTTTTCAATGTCCGTCTCAGAGGAGGGTTTCCGCAGCGTGAATCCGGGGAATACACAGCTTGCGCTGGGCATCATGCTTCGGCTCTGCCTCCCAAGGTCGTACTGACCACAGGTACCGAGGTCCTCAGACTGCGGGGCAAAAAAAGAAGAGGCAGTGGGTATCAGAATAATAATCTTTGCCTTATCACGTCGTTGAGATGTCTCAAAAGTGCTTCAAATTGTCAAAATAACTGACTGCCCAGCGCCTTGGGACATCCTCCTGACGTGAAAGGCGCTATACAAACGTAAAAACAACAACAAAATTACATTTGTTTAGGACGTCCCAAGGTGCTGGACAGAAAGAGTTACGGAACCGCGCTGGGGGTCGGGGTGGGGGAGGGTGGAGGGCAGAGGGAGGAAGCAGGGAGATCAAAAGCACAGTCGAAGAGGATGAGTCTTGAAGATGGCGAGGGAAGGGGTGAGACGGAGGGACTGCGGGATGGAATTTCAGAGGGTGGGCGCAGAGTGGCAGAAGGCTAATAGTGGGGCGAGCAAGGCGGGGGACATGAAGCAGGCCGTAGCCCACTGAGGGGAGGGAGCGAACAGGTGGTAGGGGGTCAGGAGGTCGGAGAGGTAGCGGGGAGCAAGACCGTTGAGGGCTTTGAAGCTGAGGACCAGGATCTTGAACTGTATCCTCTGTGTGATGGGAAGCCAGTGGAGTTGGGCAGAGATGGGGGTGATAGGGTCACGGAGCCTGGTGCGGGAGAGGACATAGGCTGCAGAGTTATGGATGATCTGCAGCCTATGGAGGGAGGAGTTAGGGAGGCCGACAAGCAATGAGTTTGCATAATCGAGCCTCGAAGTAATGAAGGCACGTATGATGGTTTCGGCAGCCTGTAGTGTGAGACAGTGGTGGAGCTGGGCAATGTTGCGGAGGTGGAGGAAGGCAGAGCGGATCATAATAATAATATAATAATCCTTGCATTTGATATAGCGCTTTTCACGTCGGGAGGACGTCCCAAAGCGCTTCACAGAATATACTGTAAAGTGAATTGACTGTATATTTGTGGGCGAACGCGGCAGACAATTGCGCACAGCAATGTCCCACAAACAGTCGTAGATTGAAAATGACCAATTTATTATTGTTTTTGGTTTTTGGAGGGATTATTATTAGGCTCTGTGTGGAGTAAGGAAACTTGCCCAAGGTTTCGCCCTCTGCCTGGAATTGAACTCAGGTCTCTCACTTGCAAAGCGAGTGCTCTAACCACTGAGCTACAAGACTCCACGTCATGGTGCAGATGTGGAGTAGAAAGGATAGTAGAGGGTCAAACAACACCCCAAGGTTCCGGACTGGCTGAGCGAGGTGGAGTGTGCAACCATGGATGGTGATGTTGTCGGGAGCCAATCAGGAGAGCCTCGGTCTTGTTGAAGTTCAACTGAAGAAAGTTAGCTCTCATCCAGGACTTGATGTCAGACAGACATTCTGTCAGGACAGCAGTGGTACTGGAATCATGGATGGAGGCAGAGAGGTAGAGTTGGGTGTCATCCGCATACGTGCGGAAGTTGACCCCATGTCTGCGGATGAGGTCACCAAGAGGGAGCATATAGATATTGAAGAGGAGGAGACCAAGGACAGAGCCCTGAGGAACGTCACACGAGACGGCCCGGGGGCAGGAAGAAAAGCCATTTGAGGAGATGAAGTACAGGCGGTGTGAGAGGTACGATCTGAACCAATCAAGGAGGTTGAGGTGAGGGGAGAGGCGGTGGATGAGGATAGAGCGGTGTCGAAAGCAGCAGAGAGTTCAAGTAGGACGAGAAGGCAGAGGGAGCCCTGGTCGCAGATGGACAGAATGTCATTTGTCACTTTGACCAGGGCGGTTTCTGTGTTGTGGGCGGCACGGAAACCCATGGAGGAGTTTGAGAAGTGAGTGGCGGGCGAGGAAGGAGCGAAGCTGAGAAGCAACAGCTCGTTCCAGGACCTTGGAGAGGAAGGGGAGGTTGGAGATGGGGTGGTAGGTAGGGAGGAGAGAATGGTCCGGGAAGGGTTTTTTAAGGATAGGAATGATAACAGCGTTTTTAAAGGTGTGGGAACAGTACCAGTGGACAGGGAGAGGTTTACGATGTCAGTGAGTAGAGGGGTAAGGAGGTGGAGCTGGGAGGTAAGGAGAGAGGTAGGGATGGGGTCGAGGGAGCAGGTAATGGGTTTCATATGGGTTATGGTGGTGATTAGAGAGGGAGGGGGAGACAGGTTCAAAGGTGTGGAGGGAGGGGGAAATGGGGAGGGGTAGCAGATGCAGAGGCAGCTGAGCGGATTCCCTCGACTTTGGATTCGAGGAAGTCCAGCATCGCCTCGCAGTTGGCAATTCGTTGTTGTTCACAGAATATATTGTAAAGTGGATTGATTGTATTTTGTGGGCAAAAAGCAGTAAACAATTGCTCACAGCATTGTCTCATAAACAGCCGTGGAATAAGTGATCAAATCATTTATTTATTTTGGAGGAATTATTACCACAGGTAAGCAATCTGCCAATCAACTGACAACCGGGTTCCTACTTACTGCTAGGTAAATAGAGACGTGTGTAGTTAGGAAACTTGCCTAAGGTTTCAACCCAGGAATCAAACCCAGGTCCTCTCACTTGCGAGGGTGAGTGCACAAATGACACACGATGGGTCTCCAACTCACTATAGCGCACAGCTTCACAGCAAGAAACAAGGTACTTTGGTCCAGGGAAAAGAATGTGTATAATTTTATATAGATATATAATAATTTATAATATATACAATGTGTATACACATGAGCAGATGTTTGTGAGTTTACACATGTATACGAATATGTGTATACTTGCATGTGTATTTATTATATGTACATAGTATGTGTGTATACAGCTCGTGCCTATTGTTTTCAATGGAAGATTGAACCTGCATAAGATACATTAGCCTCACTTCCTCTCTGCACTTAATCATCAGAACTGGAAGAACTACCAACACATGAAATAAAATGAATGCTCACATATTATTTACTGGTGACCAGTGGGTTTGTGTCAGTTTCTATCCAGTTTCTAGTTGACAGGAGTCCACAGCGTGACACTAACCATACTGCAGCACACATTACGTATAAGTCTGAGAGACCCAGAAGGGTAACTGGCATTGGAGATGGAAAAGCTCAGTGTGCAAGCACAATGGGTGTTCTCATGAGGTCAGGACTATGACTGTTAGAAAAATGGAAAGACATTGCATTTTATAGCAGTTTTTTTAAGTCTCAAAGCGCTCCACAGTAACGACTCTTAGGTGTGAACAAACATGACAGCCATTTGAAGCACAGGAACATCCCACAAACTGGCATGAAGTGAATGACCAATTCACCTGGAGAATTTTTGAGCATGATACTTATGTCACCTTTATTGTCCACATGAACAGCAGGCAACAGAGCCTTGGTTGAATCCTTCAACTGAAAGATGTCACCTCCAGGCGCTATTGTCAGTCTGGACTGTCAGTTCAAGTCCTGACATTAGCCTGAACCTACCATTGCCTGACACAGGCAAACATGCTACCTGCTAAGGCTACTTAATAATAATAATCCTTGCATTTGATATAGCCCTTTTCACGTCTTCTAGAGATCTCAAAGCACTTCACAGAATGTACTGTAAAGTGAATTGACTGTATATATGTGGGCGAAACGCGGCAGCCAATTGCGCACAGAAGTATCCCACAAACAGTCGTGGATTGAAGTGATCAATTTATTATTGTGTTTTTTTTGAAGGATTATTATCCCCGGAAGAGCAATCCGCCAATCGACTAACAACCATGTTCTCACTTACTGCTAGATAAACAGAGGCTTGTGGAGTAAGAAAACTTGCCCAACATTTCGCCCTACCGGGAATCGAACCCAGGTATTTCACTTGCAAGGCGAGTGCTGTAACCACTGAGCTACAGGACTCCACTTACATAGAATGTGATTCTGTGTCTAAGCCGTGCTGTACCTGACCCGGGAGTGGAGCATAGGCAAAGGGCTGGGCCCCGGTGTGAAGGACTAGGCTCATTGACAAGTTGGCTTGGTGTTGGGAATTTTGAAAGCCTTTCAATTATATGCCATTTATTATGTAATTGAATGGAAAAAATTGTTCAATTCTAATCAATAAATCGGCCTATCTTAAGGCCTCGTACCTTTTCAGCAACACAAAACCTGAAAGGAAGATCTATCTTGTTTTGCTTTGAATTAATTAGAATATCACAGACCAAAGTAGAAGCGTGAAGGCAAGTGAGCCAGTTGTACCATCTGAAAAGAGAAGGGAGTTTTTCCTAGCATCCCGGCCAACAGTCGCCCAAATGAAATTGGTCATTCACTTCATGGCAGTTGCTGTGCGCAAATTGTACTGCCATGTTTGCCTGCAAAATACAGTCGCTACTACACTTATTAGCAAATCCTGTGAAGCTATACTCCACCCCTCCTATTCCCTTCCATTCCCCACTGTATTTATCTAAAGATGCCCATGAAACTGGTAACTTGCACTGGTATTCTGGCACAAGGCAGAATATGTTGGAGAGTACGTTATCTTTAATGACCACCAGAACAGATCAAGGAAAACAGGAAAAAAATTGGACAGTAAAAAGAACTAAAACTGATCTTTTCAAAACCCCAATGTGTAAGAGGCCTGCGTGCCGCATAGAATTCTTCACTTCTTGACATCAATCACCTCAGTGAGCAAACAAATTCACTGGCAAAAAGAGCTGGAGAAGCAGACTGTACAGCACAGCGGGACACTGGTGAATCCTCCCTTCGATTTCTTCCTGCTCTGTACTGAGTTCGCTGTTCTCAGCGGGGGGGCTTTCATTGGCTTCTGTGCCAAGAGTTAGTGAGGAGGAAAATTAGCCAGCATTTCTGTTCCTCTTCACTATGCAGTGATCCATACGAGATGTGCGTGTGTGGACACTGGATGCTGTATGCCTGTAAACAGTTACTACACTTAAGAGCAATTACATGTGAAGCACTATGAGATGTTGCAACATTATTTTCCCCACAAAATATAGACAATCCACTTTACAATATATTCTGTGACGTACTTTGAAATGTCTCAACAACCTGACAAGGCACTGTATCAAATGCAATTATTATTATAGTCAAAAATAAAATGAGTATTTGACTATCAGTC